CCTATAATAAAGAATCTTTTATATTAGAAACCATGTATTCTTTTAGTAGTACGCAACCTAATTTTTATAAGAAGCACTTCTTAATTGGCATTCTTTTTTGCATAGTAGGTAAATGAGGTTGAATGGCTAAAGCAAGATCAAAGAAGTCGAGGTCTACGGCCTGGGTGAATGGTTAAAGCAAAGATCAAGTGAAAGGATATTATGACATTAAGTAAGGCTAAAGATGTAAAGCTCTATTATAAGCATGAAGTAAAATTGAAAGGTCACGAAATTTCATTTGCTTCCTAATATCTGACCTAAGTTGAATAATTAATCTTTTCAGAACAATCCATGGTTTTTCAAATATTCCATAAACTCGACATCTATAATTTAAGAAAAAATGATTCAAAATTCATCTATGGATTTATTTTCATGTTAAAATTTCTAAACACATAATGCAATCTCTTAATAATGTCCAAAAATGATTACAATGCTTCATTTCATTCAATGTAAAGGTAGGTACTTCAATATTTTTTTAAACTAACGTCCAAAAGTCTTCACAAAACAAAAAAAAACATGGATCTAGCAAGTTATATCTTTTTCCGTTCATTCATATAAAAGAAATTAAAATAAGGTTCTAGGTTATATAAACAATCAATAAATATGATGACATGCTCACATCCCCTGAACATTAGAACATAGTGTATATAAATGCAATGATGATATAATCATATCTCTCATAAAGCATTGTCAAAACAATGCTAATGTGAATCATAATACAATATAAATGTGATGATGAACAAAATTAAGTTTGATAATTAAGCCATTACAGACATTAAATCAGTTCAATTTTTTCTGCATGGCTCAATCAATCAACAATAAAAAGAAATGCAGTTAGGTATACTTTAAAGCTTAGTAATAAGCATATGATTGGCAAATTGTACGATAGATAAAATGGAGTTTAAAGGTTAAAAACGTTATTGAATGTACTTAATCATATCAAGGTAATAAGAATGTAAGTCAATAATCAAAACTTAAAATACCTAGATATTGTGGAATGCAATCAAATCAAAATACGCGTTAGGTATGATTGTTGTGCTTCAGCATGAAATAGAAGTTCCACATAAGTTTCTCTACAAGCAGTAAAAATTTCAAAATATTAAGTAATATTTAACTCTATCAAAATTGTGCTTCTCACGAAGCAGTAGAACCCTACACAGGCATGAAAGAAAGATGTATCGTGACCTCCTAAGGAAGAACTCGTCATACGAACTCGTCCAACAAGAAATAGGCATGGCCGAAAATATTGAAGCTGGCTCGGTCGAATAGGCACGATAGAAGCAGGGGCGGCCGAAGCATATGCGGCCAAAGCAGACAATGTCAAAGCAGATGCGGCAAAAGCAAAGGATGTCAAAGAAGGCAAGTACGAAGCACCTGATGCCGAAGCAGCCAATGTCGAAGCAGTCGCAGCTGAAGAAGCCAATGTCGAAGCACCTAAGAACTTTACCATCATTGCAAGCAACGGAAGGGGCAAAGTTTGGAACAATTGTTTTGAAACAGAAGAAGCCCTAAGTGCGCTCGATTCATGACTTTGCCGAACTACATAAAAAAAAAAAAGTTAAACGAGGCAGCGCCACAAACCGCCTTAAGGCATACGCCTAAACGAAGAAAGCGTACGTTTCATTCGAATCGACGAGGCTTAAACCTCGACGCGTATTTGTTCCACCTCGAATTGAGCTAAAGGGGGGGTCAACACTTGTCCAAAATAAATCATATTTTGGCTTCCCTTGAGTCTACTAGTTCATCATATTTGAGCTAAACTTTTAGTTCATTTATTAGCTGGACTTTAGTTCATTTATTGAACTAAGGGATAGATCATTATGAGCTAATATTTTAGTTCATTTATTATCTTTTAATTAATATAATTTTTTGCTTTTTATGTTTGTTTTAATGTTTGTCTCTTGGAATTCCAAACCGGCCTTTGGAATTCCAAGAATTTGCTTTTCCCATGAGGTGACTCCTTGGTTTCCTCATGGCTTTTAGTATTTTGTGTTTGCCTCTTGGGATCTCACGGCTGGGCTCCTTCTTCC